GCTGGGATTACAGGCTTGAGCCACCCCGCCCAGCCATAGACAGGAGCCGTTTTTAGAAGAGATTAGGCTAGGTGCAGTGGCTCACACCTGCACACTTTGGGAAGCTGAAGCAGGAGAACTGCTCAAGCCCAGGAGTTGAAGATTGCAGCGAGCTATGATCATGCCACTGCACTATAGCCCAGGTAACAGAGCAAGACCCTGTCTCTAAAACAAAAGAAAGCAAGCAAAACAATACAGAGATTTTTTTTTTCTTTTTTTAAAGAGACGGGGTTTCACCATGTTGGTCAGGCTGGTCTTGAACGCCTGACCTCAGGTGATCCACCCGTTTTGGCCTCCCAAAGTGCTAGGATTACAGGCATGAGCCACCATGCCTGGCCCAGAGTTTTTGGTCCCTACCACTAGGGATTCTAATTCCATAAGAGTAAAAGTGACCAGGTGCAGTGGCTCCCACACCTGTAACGCTAGCACTTTGGGAGGCCAAGGTGGGAGGATTGTTTAAGCCCGGGAATTTGAGACCGGCCTGGACAACCTGTCAAGACCCCATCTCTGTTAAAATAAATAAATAAACTCTCTCTGTATATAAAAGCATAAATCTTGCTGTTAATATTCTCAGTTACCTGTCTTCAGAAATGGACCCCTGTGAAATGAAGGGGGAATTTAGAAAATGGACATTGTGACTGTGATTTTTCACTGAAATGGGAGGATCCAGGCCTGGCACAGTAGCTCATGCCTGTACTCTCAGCACTTTGGGAAGCTGAGGTGGGAGGATTGCTTAAGGTAGAGTTTGAGACCAGCCTGGGCAACAGAGTGAGACCTTGTCATTACGAAAACAAACAAAAATATTAGCTGGAGGTGGTGGTTCATGCCCGTTTTCCCAGCTGCTCAGGAGGCTGAATCGGGAGGAACACCTGAGGCTGGGAGATTGAGGCTGCAGTGAGCTATGAATGCATCACTGCACTCCTGTCTGGGTGACAGAGCAAGATCCTGCCTCAAAAAAAAAAAAAAAAAAATTTAGAAAGTTAAGAACTCTGCTCCAACTTCCCCAAAAGACAGTTAAATGTTGAGAAATGTGAGGATAACTTCTTCCCTTGACCTCTCATGTTATAAAAAGAATGCAAACATATTGAAAAAGATCGTATCATATTCATTCTCTGAAGCCATTGATTCTGATAAAGTCAGATAAAAATGACACATTAGAAAAAAATTTATGTCAATGAATGTAGATCTAAGAATCTTAAAACTTCAGGGATCGGGTACAGTGGCTCACATCTGTAATCCCAGAGCTTTGGGAGGCCAAGGTGGGCATATCACTTGAAGTCAGGAGTTCAAGACCAGCCTGGTCAACATGGTGAGACTCCGTCTCTACTAAAAAAAAAAAAAAAAAAAAAAAATGACATGGGCATGGTGGCTCATACCTGTAATCTCAGCTACTCAGGAGGCTGAGGCAGGTGAATCATCTGAACCCAGGAGATGGAGGTTGCCGTGAACTGGGATCCCACACCATCTGAGCTCCAGCCTGGGCAACAGAATAAGACTCCAACTCAAAAAAAAAAAAAAAAAAAAAATCTTAAAACTTCAAAAAAAAATGGAAAGCAGTCATTACATGTTAAAACTACAATCTTAATTTGAAAATTTTGTTGGTATCATAGGTATATCAAGAAAAAAGTGGTCATTTTAATTAAATATCTCAAAGGTATTTGGTAAAGTTTGATGCCCATTCATAGTAAAACATTTTAAAATAAGAAAACAATGCTTCTTTAACATGATAAAAGAGTATTTACTTTCCTCATAAATATCAAGGCATTCTATAAAGCAGTAATATTAAATAATGCAGTGTGGGTGCAGGAATAAACAAATCAATCAGTGGAACAGAACAGAGAATAGAAATAGATCTTTTTCATGTGGGAATTTAGGATATGAAGAAGATTGGGAGAATAATGGGCTAGCAGTAAAAGACATTGAGATAATTAGCTATGCACTTAGGAAGATAAAGTCAAGTCCCTACTTGATACTCCTCACTAAAATCAGTGGGCTTAGATCCTTTTGTGGTTCATAATTTGGTGACTAGGTTTTCATGCCCGTGAAATGCGCCTGCCTTCAATCTTGTTAAGATGTCAGCACATTGCCTTCTGATGGGAAAGACAGAAAAACAAGTAACAGTGAAATAAATGAGCTTATTTTTGTGGCTTAAGGGGCCAAATGAGAACACAAAACCATACAGGTATTAAAAGGAAATACAGGAAAATGAGTTTAGAGCCTTGGGGGTGTAGAACCTTCAACATGACATGAAATACAAATGGCAGAAAGGAAATGGTTGATCAATTTGATTACATCAAAAATCTAAATATGTATATGGTCTAAAATGCCTTAAAAGATGAGCAAAAAACTGGAAGAAAGTAACTAAAATATAGCCGGGCGCGGTGGCTCAGGCCTGTAATCCCAGCACTTTGGGAGGCTGAGGCGGGTGGATCACGAGGTCAAGAGATCGAGACCATCCTGGTCAACATGGTGAAACCCCGTCTCTACTAAAAATACAAAAAACTAGCTGGGCATGGTGGCGCGTGCCTGTAATCCCAGCTACTCAGGAGGCTGAGGCAGGAGAATTGCCTGAACCCAGGAGGCGGAGGTTGCGCTGAGCCGAGATCGCGCCATTGCACTCCAGCCTGGGTAACAAGAGCGAAACTCCGTCTCAAAAAAAAAAAAAAAAAAAAAAAGAAAGTAACTAAAATATGTATAACAAGAGACTGATACCTAGTATTTATGAGGAAAGTAAGTATTCTTTTCTCATCTATTTTTTCTTATGTTACGTAAAGAAATGCAAATTGGGGCTGGGCTCAGTGGCACATACCCATAAATCCCAATGCTTTAAGAGGTTGAGGGGGTGAATTGCTTGAGCCGCGGAGTTTGAGACCAGCCTGGGCAACATAGTACAATCCCATCTCTACAAAATATTAAAAAATTAGCCTATATGTGGCATGCATCTATAGGCCCAGCTACTCAGGATGCTGAGGTGAGAGGATCGCTTGAACCCAGGAGTTCGAGGCTGCAGTGAACTATGATTGCGCCACTGCACTTCAACCTCAACCTGGACAATGGAGCAATACTGTTTCTTTAAAAAAAAAAATGATATAAAAGGAACTGCAAATTAAAAAATAATAACTGAATAGAAATGTGGGCAAAGGAAATGGGCAATTTACAAAAGGGGAAATAAAGAAGGTGCCAATTTTTTGGCCTATCTGATTGGCAAAAAGGAAAAACATTAATAATAACCATGGCAAGGTTTTCGGGAAATGAGAGCTTCCAGTTCATGATTGTGGGGGTGTAAATTGAATCAGCTACTTCAGAGAGCAATTTAATAGTCAAAGTAATGTACATAAGGCTGGGTGTGGTGGCTCATGCCTGTAATTCTAGCACTTTGGGAGGCTTAGGTGGGTGAATTGCTTGAGCTCAGGAGTTCAAGACCAGCCTGGGCAACATGGTAAAACCCCTTCTCTACTAAGAATACAAAAATTAGCCAGGCATGTCATGACATGTGCCTGTATTCCCAGCTATTCGAGAGGCTGAGGCTGGAGAATTGGTTGAGCCACAAGGAGCTGAGATCGCACCATTTGTACTCCAGCCTGGGTGACAGAGTGAGACTGTCTCAAAAAAAGAAAAAATGTACATACTCAGTGAGTCTGGAAATTTTACCAAATTGAGACACACATATACAGAATCAGTTCTAGAATATTTTTATATGGGTTTATCTGATATGATATTATTGAAGACAAATTGTTAGATTTAAGATACTCAGATGGCACCAAATTCCATTCACAATACCAACAAAAACATGTACTATCTAGAAGTAAATGTAGAATGACTGATTTAGTGAGCAACATAAAGGCATAATTGAATGAAAACTGTGGCATTCAGGGGAAACTGTATTTTTTAAAATTATTATATTTTTTTGAGATGGAGTCTAACTGCAGCCTCTACCTCCCAGGCTCAAATGACACTCCTGCCTCGCCCTCCGAGTAGCTGTTATCACAGGCAGATGCCACCATGCCTGGCTAATTTTTATATTTTTAGTAGGGATAGGATTTCACTATGTTGGTCAGGGTGGTCTCGAACTCATGGCCTCAGGTGATTCACCCATCTCGACCTCCCAAATTGTTTGGATTACAGGCGTAAGCCACTGTTCCCAGCCCAGGGAGAACTGTATTTTAAAGGTATTCCTTATGAGCTGACAGACATTGTAGGTTTTTTTTAAAAAAGGTATCACTTTGCCACATGCAGATAGATGCAATTTCAATCAAAATCCCCCTCATGAGCCACTGAGCCACAGGGCACGTGGCTCACGCCTGTAATCCTGGCACTTTGGGAGGCCAAGGCTGATGGATCACCTGAGGTCAGGAGTTTGAGACCACCCTGACCAACATGGTGGAACCCCGTCTCTACTAAAAATACAGAAATTAGCCATGCCTGGTGGTGTGTGCCTGTAGTCCCAGCTACTCAGGAGGCTGAGACAAAAGAATTGCTTAATCCCAGGAGGCGGAGATCGCAGTGAGCCAGGATCATGCCACTGCACTCCAGCCTGGGCAACAGAGTGAGACTTCGTCCCAAAGAAGAAAAAATTCCATTAGGGGTTTCATTTTGTTTGCCTTTTTCCCTAGAACTGAACAATAGTAGTGTGAAATTAAAAGGGTGTACAAGTGGTTAATGAGCTGGAATGTTAAACTATATCCTGAAAAAAAAGTCAAGTAGAATGACCAACCCCAGCAAAAGAAGCATGTGGGGGCACAGGAACAAATCCAGTAATGTGTTAGAGATGGTGTCTGCGCCAACAGAAAGCAACTTCTGAAGGCCACATGGAAAGAGTGCTTGCTGGCGTCCTGCCCTCCGTGGGCCCACGCTCCCTTGTCTCTAGGTCTGCGCGATGGGCCGCTAGTTGAGGTGTCCGCAGCTCCAGGGTCCTCTGCCATCCCTTACTCGGTTGGTCTGTGTCTGCTGTTTCTCTGCAGGTCCAAGCCTTGTCATCAGGCAGTAAGTTTGAAGCAGAGTTGAAAGCTGAGCAAGATGAGCGGAAGCGGGAGGAGGAGGAGAGGCGGCTCCGCCAGGCAGCCTTCCAGGAACTCAAGGCCAACTTCAGTACATAGTCCGGCCAACCTTGCTCTCTGCCCACAGCTGTGCCTCACAGATCCCCCAGGAAGAGATGGCTGGGCGTCTTCATCACTGCTGCCAGTCCCCTCCCTGAGCCAGCGTCTCCACCTCCACCCTGTGCCAGCTCCCATGCCAGCCTTCATTCCTCGCATTGCCCAACCCCCTCCGGGGGAGTCCTGGCATGGGCCGGATACCTCCCCACCTCTGTCTCCTGCCTCTGCTCCTCCGCCCTACCTGTAGCCAGAACTTGCATCTTCTCAGCAAACTTCACTTTGCCCTATCCCTTTACCATTCCCCGTCAAAGAAGAGTCTGCTATGTTAATTTGTACAGACATGTCTGCCTTTTGGGGTCATCTGAGGAAACGCCCATTTTCTCAGTTAATTCTCTGCACTCCTCTCTGCTTCCTGCCCAGCTTCCCTGTTCCCGTCTTTGGTAGGATTCTGTCAGTTGTTTTCTTATCTTCTGTACCTGGGTAATTGTGGGTCTTCATTGAGGAACAGCATGCCACCACAGTGACACACAGTAGAGAAAGGACAGAGGTCTGTTCCTGCCTGCCACCCTTCTGGCCCCTTAGCATTTCCCCAGTCCCTCCCTCCTCTTCCTGCTCCATTTATGTCTTTCCAGCTCAGCCTTTTCCCACTCTTCAGCACTGTACCACTTCACTGTAAGAATGAAAGAATAGTTAGGATACCAGCGAGTAAAAGGGTTCCTATTCACTCTGACTCTATGCAAATTATATTACAATGGACACCTGATATTCCCAAGTGACAGATCCAGGGCCTTTCAAAAATCCCCAGAGTCATCGCCATACTCACCATTAGCCAGTTTCTAACAATGCTGTTCCACGGTATTCCGCTGTAGATGTTCTTATCCCCACACTTGTGAGTTCTTGGGGGTTGCTCACAAATACTAGGGGTTTTTATTGTATTTTTAACAAATATGTTCTAATGTCATATTTATTCTCTTTTGTAACTGCTGTCTTTACAATAAAGGAATCATCTGCCTTTCTATCTTACAGCTGTTTCTTTTTAGATTGTACAAATGAATGTGACTATCACATCAATGTGCCTGGAATTTTCTTGAGAGTAGAGGCCAGGCACAGTGGCTCACACTTGTAATCCCAGCACTTTGGGAGGCCGAGGCGAGCAGATCACTTGAGTTCAGGAGTTCAAGACCAGCATGACCAACATGGATAAACCCCTTCTCTACTAAAAACACAAGATTAGCCAGGCATGGTGGTGCGTACCTATAGTCCCAGCTACCCATGGAACTGAGGCAGGAGAACCGCTGAAACCCAGGTGGCAGAGATTGTAGTGAGCTGAGATTGCGCCACAGCACTCCAGCCTGGGTGACAGAGCGAGACTCTGTCACAAAAGAAAGGAAGGAAAGACAGAAAGAAAGAAAAAGAGAAAGAAAGCAAGAAAGAGAGAAAGAAGGAAGGAAGGAGAGAGTACTGTATTTTTTTTTTTTTTTCTTTTTTGCGGAGATGGAGTCTTACTCTTTGCCCAGGCTGGAGTACAGTGGCACCATCTCCAATCACTGTAACCTCCACTTCCCAGGTTCTAGTGATTCTCCTGGCTCAGCTTCCCGAGTAGCTGGGATTACAGGTACGTGCCATCATGCCCAGCTAATTTTTTGTATTTTTGATAGATACGGGGTTTCACCATATTGGCCAGGCTGGTCTCAAACTCCTGACCTTGTGATCTGCCTGCCTCAGCCTCCCATAGTGCTGGTATTACAGGTGTGAGCCACCATACCTGGACGAGAGTAGAATATTTTCTATAGGCGCCAAGTCCTATCCAGGGCTTCTGTTTGACACTGAGTCCTGAAATATAGTTAGAAATGGGAACTACCACCAGGCGCGGTAGCTCACATCTGTAGTTCCACCACTTTGGGAGGCCAAGGTGGGTGGATCACTTGAGTTCAGGAGTTCAAGACCAGCCTGGTCAACATAGTGAAAATGCATTTCTTGTAAAAATATAGCCGAGCTTGGTGGCGCATGCCTGTAATCCCAGCTACTCAGGAGGCTGAGGTGGGAGAATTGCTTGAACCAGGGAGCTGGAGGTCGCAGTGAGCAGAGATAGTGCCACTGCACTCCAGCCTGGATGATAGAGCAAGACTCCATCTCTAAAAAAACAAAGAAAGAAAGAAAGAAAGAAAGAAAGAAAGAAAGAAAGAAAGAAATGAGAACTAGAGGACTGGTTTTCACTCTGTAGGATTCAGAGTACTGATCTTATCAGTTGCACTCCCCTTTCCATCCGTGAGGATGCCTTCAGCTGCAGGGAAAACCGTAGCTTCATTTGCTTCTTAGATCCCTTGAAACTCTGATGAGAGCCAGTGCCCCTCTCTCCCATGTGTAATCCAGGATATTTGGGCTACCCATGCAAGGACCTCTGTTCCAAGAGACTATCCTTTGCTCCCCTGGAAGGATCATTCTGTTTCTATACATCATTTTTCTAGCTGTTGTCTCCTGGGGAGGGACATGAAAAAGGAATGGAGAGATTCTTACCATGTGATCCAGCAATCCTGCTCCTTCCTATTTCTCCACATGACATGAGAGTTTATGTCCACACGAAAACCTGCACATGAAGCTTTTGTTTTTATTTTTTGAGACAAGGTCTAGCACTGTCATCCAGGCTAGAGTGCAGTGGCATGAACATGGCTCACTGCAGCCTCAACCTCCTAGGCTCAAGTGATCCTCCCCACTCAGCCACCTAAAGTGCTGGGATTACAGGCACGGGCCCCTGTGGCTGGCCTATACATGAAGCTTTATAGCAGCTTTATTCATAATTGCAAAAACTTGGAAATAAGATATTCCTCAATACGTGAGTGCATAAGCTATGAAACATCCACACAATGGAATATTATTCAGTGATGAGAAGCATTTAGCAATAGAAAGAAATGAACTATCAAGTAATGAGAAGACAGAGAGGAAACTTACATGCATATTGCTAAGTGACACTCCAGTCCTGAGCTGGATGTGGGGCACTTGCTCATAGTTCTAGTTTCTCATGGCTGAGGAGGGAGGATAGCTTGAGCCTCGGAGTTCGAGTGCAACCTGTGCGCATGGTGAGATCCCATCTCAAAAAGGGGGAACAAAAGCCAATCTACATACTATTTGATACCAACTATGGTATGACATCCTGGAAAAGGTAAAAGTTTGAAGCCAGAGAAAAGATAAGCAGTTGTCAGCAAGGAGAGAGAGAGGGATGAATAAATGCAGCACAGAGGACTTTTAGGTCAGTGAAACTTACCCTCAATGATGCTGTTGATGCTGGCGGATGCATGTCTTACACATTTGTCAAAACCCATAGAATGTGCGACACAGAATGCAGCTAGGCTGAGTGCAGTGGTTCATGTCTGGAATCCCAGCGCTTTGGAAGGCAGAGGAGGCAGGAAGATCACTCAAGTTCAGGGTTTCGAGACCGGCCTGAGCAATATAGTTAGATCCTGTGCCTACAGAAAACTTTTAAAAAGCCAAGCTTAGGCTAGGCACAGTGGCTCACGCCTGTAATCCCAGCACTTTAGGAGGCCGAGGTGGGTGGATCACGAGGTCAAGAGATGGAGACCATCCTGGTTAACATGATGAAACCCGGTCTCTACTAAAATACAAAAATTAGCTGGGTGTGGTGGCGCATGCCTATAGTCCCAGCTATTCGGGAAGGCTGAGGCAGTAAATTGTTTGAACCTGGGAGGTGGAGGTTGCAGTGAGCTGAAATTGCACCACTGCTCTCCAGCCTGGTGCCTGGCGACAGAGCAAGACTCTGTCTCCAAAAATAAATAAATAGGCCAGGCTTGGTGGCTCACACCTGTAATCCAAGCACTTTGGAGGCCAAGGCGGGTGGATCACCTGAGGTCGGGAGTTCAAGACCAGCCTGACCAACATGGTGAACTCTGATCTTTAAATAAATAAATAAATAATAAATAGGGAATGGGGAGCTGGGGTGGGAGGAGTACATAGGAACATGTACTTTTGGCTCAGTTTTTCTGTAAACCTAAAACTTCTCTAAAAAATAAAGTCTAGGCCTGTAATCCCAGCACTTTGGGAGGCTGAGGTGGGCAGATCACCTAAGGTCAGGAGCTCAAGACCAGCCTGGCTAACACGGTGAAACCCCGTCTCTACTAAAAGTACAAAAAATTAGCTGGGAGTGGTGGTGCGTGCCTGTAATCCCAGCTATTCAGGAGGCTGAGGCAGGAGATTTGCTTCAACCCAGAAAGTGGAGGTTGCAGTGAGCTGAGATTGTGCTACTGCACTCCAGCCTGGGTGATAGAGGGAGACTCAATCGCCACAAGAAAAATAAATAAATAAATAAACAAAGTCTAACGGTGAAAGAGATGAAGAAAAAAAAAGTTTCTTAGTTTAAAAAGAAGGAAGATAATGGAGATGGCAATGTCATTACTTGAAGCATCTGTTTGCCTTTTTGGACAGGTGGGTTCATGTAAGAGCTAAAACGCTTGACTGCTTGTCACAAATTGTGAAGATAAAAATAAATAAATAAGGCCGGGCACAGTGACTCACGCCTGCAATCCCAGCACTTTGGGAGGCCCATGTGGGTGGATCACTTGAGGTCAGGAGTTTGAGACCAGCCTGGCCAACATGGAAAAAACCCATCTCTGCTAAAAACACAAAAAAGTAGCTGGGCATGGTGGCGTGTGCCTGTAGTCCCAGCAACTCCAGAGGCGGAGGCAGGAAAATCCCTTGAACCCAGGAGGTGGGGGTTGCAGTGAGCTGAGATCACACCACTGCACTCCAGCCTGGGTGACAGACTGAGACACTGTCTCAAAAAATAAAAATAAATAATAAATAAAATTTTTATCACAACCGATAGAAAATCCAACACAAAAGGACTTTAGACAAAATAGGACTTATCGGGCCGTGTCACTTCCAAGGCCAGGGAGAGGATGTTCCTCCTCCCTCTTGGCCACAAAGTCCCCCAGAGACTGTTCCCTTGTCCCTCCCACGCACCCTGCATCTCCAGTGCCATGGTCACAGCTCAGACCTTCATAGGTTCCTTCCCAAGTCTCTACCGTGGGCTCATAATGGGTTTCTGTGCCCTCATTATACCCTGATTGTCCACTTTGCAGCTAGAGTAATCCTTAGAAATTGCAGACCTGCTCCCAACTTCTCTCCTTCAATTTTTGATTCCCCTCTTTCAGGATCCAGCCCCAACTCGTCTCTCCCGCCTCATCTCTTGCCCCTTGTCCCTGACCTGTCTCCTTTCAAGCTGTACACTCCTGGTATATGCGATGCCTGACTGTTCCTGGAAAATTCCACACTTCCAGGCTTTTGCATACACGGTTTCCTCCACCTGGTACTCCCTTCCTCCCTTCCAGGGGCGAGCTCCTTCTCATTGTTGATGACTCAGCTCAGAGGTTGTCTTCAGGAAGCTTCCTTGACTCTCCCAGGCCAGGTGAGGTGTCCTTTTTCAGGATTCCCCTTTCCCCCTGAGTTTCTCTACTGTAATCCTGACAGCTTTAGGCAGTAGCCCTATCCTTACTTCTTGGCCTCCCCGTTTGGACTATGAACTCTTTGCAGGGCAGGAAGTGAGCCTTGCCTATTGCTATAGGCCCAGCATGCTGCCCGGCATGTAGAAGACAACCCTTGAATGTTGGTTTCACAAGGACATGCCAGGCGTGTTACAACAGACACATGGGCAAGGCAGGATCATCACCACTGATGTCAGAGATCTTCTGAGTACTCCACCGTGAGAGCCTCAGAGGCCAGCTCTGAAAGTGGAGACAGCAGAGCTTGTGGGAATATCTTTCTCACTGGGAGAGAGATGAGGCCACTACCCAGGGCCCTCCTTTGACCGAGCAACAGGAAAAGCAACACACCAATCAGTCTTGCCTCAACCCTGGAGGCTGTGTGATGTAATGGGATTTGGCCTCCAATACTAGGCAAGTAACTGAACCTGACTGAGCCTCCGTTTCCTCACCCGCAAAATGGGCATGATGGACTGGGCCTGGTGGCTCATGCCTGTAATCCCAGCACTTTGGGAGGCCAAGGCAGGTGGA